CTGTTACTTTGTGTTTACTGGGTTCTCATCATGAATAAATATTAATTTAATATTTTAAAAAATATTAGTGTACTTTTTATAGAGTTGAGACAAGGAAGAAAACAAGATAGAAAAAAGATAAAACAAAAGCTTTAGGTATGTCTGTGTTATTTTAATATACTTAATATATATATCATACATATCATCAATCAACATTTATACTTTAAAATTTAATTTTTTTGTTGCAGATAACAGTATAAAAAAATATAAATATAGGCTGCGCTATAAAGATAATTGTATACAAGGCTGTATACAAGGCTGCGCCTACAGAGACTGGCTGCATTGAGTGCTTAGCGCAAATAAAAACAGGCTGCTTCAGCGCCTATATCAACAGGCTGCTTCAGTGCCTATAAGAAGAAGCTGCTTCAGCGCCTATAAGAACAGGCTGCTACAACGCCTATAATAACAGGTTGCTTCTGCGCCTATAAGAACAGGCTGCTTCAGCGCCTATAAGAACAGGCTGCTTCTGCGCCTATAAAAACAGGCTGCTTCAGCGCCTATAAGAACAGGCTGCTTCAGCGCCTATAAGAACAAGCTGCTTCAGCGCCTATAAGAACAAGCTGCTTCTGCGCCTATAAGAACAGGCTGCTTCTGCGCCTATAAGAACAAGCTGCTTCTGCGCCTATAAAAATAAGCTGCTCTGCGCCAAAAAAACTGGCTGTTTTGCACTAATATTATAAAATTTTTTCAAAAAATGGCTAAAACACAAATAATTTTACAGAAAAGAGAAAAAGACATAATTGTTCAGAACGGTTGGTTGACAGACGTACATATGGATCATTTTAACTGCCTTATACAAAACTGGTCAAAAAATCTGTACAAACCTGTTGATAGCTATAAATTGTACGTTCCCGATAGAATAGAATCTATACCGACATATAGTAAGCATATACAGATCTTGTTTAGTTCTTCAGATCCAGATATGCGTACTAGACATTGGGCATGCAGTTATTACGACACAAGAAACATATTTATTTACGATTCATTGAATAAAAAAGAATTACACGAAAATCATAAAACGTTTTTAGAAAAATTATTTCCAGATTATGATTTCAATTCTGTCAAATTTCCTACAGTGCAACAGCAACCGAACAGAAATGATTGTGGTGTTTTCGCAATAGCTTTTGCGATCTCCAGATTACATAACATTCCGCCTGAAAATGTTAAATATGATCATAGCTTAATGCGTTTACATTTACTTAAAATATTCAAAACAAATAAAATTGAGCATTTCTCTCAAGACGCGCGCTATGGAGTTCTGGAAGTATTACCATTACCAATAGTGATACAAAGAGAATTTGTAGCAATTTGTAAGCGTATATTACGTAAAATTAATAACCAACGTAAAACTAATAAAAACCAACATGAGAATCAACAGTGTATAGTAAAAAATATGATTTTACAGCAAAATAAAAAAGATATGATT